GCCATAGCCGACATGAAAATTTACTGAAAAAAACAACACGAAAAAATATTCTAGCCGTTCGGTAATTAAATTTAAAACGAGAGCAAAACTAGAACTCGAAATGTGATTCTAAAAACGTTTCGCATCGCATCGACAGAACTCGACTCAACCCTTCAAATGTTCCATTGAGTCGCGAGAACTTCGTTATACCATTTTATACAATGAAAAGTGAGGTCGCATCCTACGCTGACCTTAAGTGGACACGAGATGCCGGATACGTTTGCCCTCGAGTGCGAGTGAGACGCACGTACACACGAGAGCCCACTTTACACATAAATGGTATCCGATTCGTGCGAGAGAGACGCGAGTAGTGATTCCTTAAACGAGGGAAAGAGATGAGATAGCTCGAGTGGTTTGATGGCGCACTCGATCCTGAGATGTTTAAAGGAACGAGATCAAAAATGTGTACAGAGGTTTAATAACATAAATGTCGGTGTTCAGTGGCCGAGCAGCTCAGCAGCCACAGCTGAGGCTGGTGGCCTCTCATTGTTAGCTACAAGTGTAGTCAACTATTGGAGAGGTTTTTGCTCCGTCATCGAATTTACGTATAAATTGTAAACGATTTCTTTGTCAATATTGCGTATGTTGTGTGAAATTTGCGTATGTGCAGTACAAAATTGTTTCTTTGAGAAATCTATAAAAATATTACAAAAATGAAAGATTTATATTTTTGTATGTATTGAAATAACTCTTCACGATTTAAAAAAAATCTTTCACTAATAAAAAGATACGTTATCAGTAACAAAGTTATATTTTTAATTCGGGTGAAGTCGTATTTAATAAAAGTTATTGAATTGTAAAATGTAATTAATTGAAGTGTCACAAGTGGCCACAGAGAGCGGTGAGCAAGCCGCAAGTGGCAGAAGACACGCGCCGCGTGCGCTGTCCCTCCCAATGCCTCCCGAGCCCTCGCAAGCCCTCGTGAGCCCTCACATCATAAATACAAAGCCATCAATTTAACAGACAGATATGATATTATAACGTGCCCGTTACCCGCTGACGTCATAGCGAGGTCACTCAGTTGTGACACTTTACGTCGTAAACATACGAGTACGCGACAACCGGAACAACCATGAGATTAATTTGTGCAGTACATTGTGTACAAATGAATTTGAAAATTGTATTACAACTTCCCCATTTTTATAAAGTATTGCATTAACTAGTATGAAATGTACAATTATCAAGCCGGTGGTGTGCTAAAAATTACACATAAAATATGACAAATAAGTAAGAGACCGTGTAAGAAATGTTTTGGCACACGTTTGTGCCATGTCTTGGCACTGTTTTCACATTATATTCGCTGATACAACTGCAAACTAAATGCAATGATCATAAACAGTGAGCCGAGTAAGGCGGCAGTGGGCAGTTAGCAGGTCATTTGTGGGTCGCTTGGGCGGAATATCTCCGGAAGCTATCACTATATCCACCCGACGGGCGGCGGCGCGTGCCGGCACGAAACAATATCTACTCGCTGCCTGCGCCCAGGTCATAGGAGCGAGCGGTTTAGCGTATAACTAGCTTATCATATAAGTATGACAAAATAGTTGTCAGCCGTGACGCCGTCCTCGTATTATAGACTGTAATCTATTTCTGGTGCATATCCAGTTTCGTTCAGCCGATCTTAAATTACGTGTTGATAAAAAATTACCCATCAACACTTTTGAATTTATAAGTAACTTTAGTAAGATGATCATAATAAAACCAATGTTATAAATGTCTGCAGTAAAATTTGGTTACTATTTACAGACTACTACTAATGTTGTTCACGCACTGCTATGATACTCTAGTGCTCCTTTATGTAAATGATTTTAAATATTGAATCCGTGTTCAGTGCATGACTTAGGCGGTGTCGCAGCAGGGGCGGCGGGGAGGTAGGGGCGCGGCGGGGAGGGCGGGCGGTCACATTCTTGCAATAATGTCGGCGACAATGCGGCGGTGTCACTTCATATCGCTTCATATCGGACGAGGGACACATTTTATGTGCGCATGTAATGTGGCTGAAGACACGAGCCTTGCTACAGAATGAGCTACGAATAAAGTGCTACGACGATGAAATAAGTATTTAGATAAAACGAATGAAAAGTGTACTGCACTCTAAACTAATTCAAAGAATCAGCTCACATAGCATTGATCCGTTGAGCTGCGGCTCAACAACTAAATCATCAGTTCACGACTTGTAACGTAATGTAACTACAGGAGCTGACGAACTGAACTACATACCTTTAGCGCTACTTTTTAAAATTAAACGATAAATTATTAATAGCGTGGCGCAAAGTTGAGAGGAGACGACGCGAGGTGAGGTAACGCGGCGTCGGTAACGTCAGCCGTCGTCAGCCGAGCTTGTAACCTCTTCAGAGGGAAAGGGCTCCATCTGCTTGTATTACTACATTAAAGTGAGAGCAACGTTTTGCTACCGGGGTGTCAACTCAACACTCTCTCCCCCGCACCCCCGCACCCCCGACACTTGCCTGCTTCAGCTTTGTAGACTGTTTATATTGCTCACTTACGAATTAAAACTAATTCACTAATATTTAATTATGTTACGCTTATGTAAGAAAAACTTCTGAAAATGATATCAGTCAGACAAGAACTCCGACACGGCGATGTTTTCAGATCTGATTTTGTATCTTCATATTTTCCCCGAAGTAGTTGAGATTGTGTCAGCGTTAAAAAGAGGAAAACGACATCGATCTCGTTTGTGAACTTTTCGGTAACTATTAGTCTGCTTCGACTTGCATTATTAAAATGCATTTTCAATACCTATTTGAAATATAAACTATCAAAAAGTATCAGAAACTATCAATCGTGTAATTGGATAACACATATAATTTTGTTGTATTTATTTTAGTTTCCGACACAATACTTGTGTTGTTAGGAGCAGCGATGCGTCTAGCTCACTGAGCCGCTCGGGAGCTCAGCGCGCGTCACGTTGCCGGCTCGGCGACTCTTTCAACTTAAACACGTTCAAAAGCTAAAAACAGCCGAAAAGCAAAGAAATAAAAAATGTCTGAACATTTCCCCGAGTGTGGGGGCTTTCTCTTAATTAATTGAGCGCGGCGCCCATTAGTCGGTTAAATGTATTACAGTCTTAACTTGTGAATTAACCTGCGCCGCGGCCGCGCGTCGGCAATTACCGCGCCCCAGCCCCGGCCCCGACTGTAGCCAGCGGAGGCCCGCTTCCTTACTACGACACGACGCCAACTCGGCTGCGACACGACACCGACACGACACACAAATACGCCTCAATACAATTTAGTCGTCATGAGATAGAAATAAAACAGAAAAATCGTAGCAGTGCTACGAGTATACGTGGGCGTTCAATTTTGGTGAATATTGTCCATGTATTGAGCTCTGATTGGCGGTTTTGATTGTTTAGTAAAAGCGATAACTCGTGTATTCATCATGTTGCGGTGGCGAGGCGGTGGCGAGGCGGTGGCGAGGCGGCGAGGCAGCGAGGCGCGGCGAGGGCGGCGCGGGTGCGAGCACACAGCCCTGCTCTTGTGCACTCTGTAGCTTTTTTCTGTGCGCCAACTCGTTTTGTTTATGCCCACACCTTTATACCGTAAGTAGACGCCGCTTTGTCTACGCGCGATGTAGACTTTTGCTAAGAAACTCGCTCGACGCTAAACTTAATTGTATAAACGCAAACACGACGTATACAGACGTACAATTTAACAACGTTTGTATAACTCCTTTTATTGAGCGGCGCAACGCAGTAGACACAGTGTAGGCACAGTGTAGGTGTGTTGCAGAAATATAAACTGCAGAATAAGGTAGAAATATCGACGGAGACCTGAAACGTTTCTGTCCGCTCTTGCGTCGCGTTAACAAACAAGTGTCGCTATTTACGCGGCGCTAAACGAACAAATTAATTGGACTTGAAATTCCGATCGGACTTGAAACTTTATAACAAGCGAGGCGACGGGTGCTGAGGTATACAATGCCTGGTAGAAGCACGGGGCGAGGCGCCTCACGCCCGACCAATGCCTCCAAGAGGCACCCCAGCCTTCCACCGACGCTGTGCGCTGTTGTTTTTGTATGTCGTCAATATTTGGCTAAAGAAGGCAACAACTAGGCTCGAACTCGAGGCTCATCGCCCACAGGAGACGTTGCAGCTTAAACACGATAATATTACTAAAGATGTTTTTCCCAATTCTGCGACAGGCGCGTAATTTGCGTGTGTTCTTTGATCGGTGTCCTCGTCCTCGATCGTTTGATTTCCTAAAAACTACAAAAACCGCTCACTGACGAGTGACGTATCAAATTCCAAGAATCGTTTTGTATGCGTTGAAATTTGAAACCTTGAATATTAACTTCAAGTGGTTTTTATTCGAATAATGACCACATTGACATGTGTCGCAATATTAATGGAGTAGTTTGTGCTACAAAGGAGACGGTAGGGAAACGCAAACTTCGTAGGTATTTACTATTTACCCGACGGGCGATGAATATACATTAGTTTATATTGAAAATAAGAAACAGTATAGAGAGGTGAGTGCCGTTTGCCAAAACAATACAACGGCAATTAAATTTTCGTTATTCTTACGCCCGTCCTCGATTTATTGATAGATTTTTATCGAAGGGAGAATTTAGAAAGCTTTTTTTTTCTATTGACTTGAGATTTGCGGCAGCGCCGGGGGCGATGGTTGCACAATGTAAACAGCAGAACTCACCGCTCGTTAGATTTTAATTACATTGCCCACTTCACCGCCATCGGGAAAATAAGTGAAGCAAAATGCTACGGGATTTTGTTGTAGATTTTAATTGTTGGTTATAGGCGGACAACATCAAGTAGAATATTCAAATTAATTGGTCTACGAAATCTAGTTAGTTAGATTAAAACTACGATCGCAGTCACACAACAATCACAAGGTACTATTACAACCGTTCTGTCATCGTCAGTCTTAGAAACAACGCGCACTGTTCATTACCGCTTATGTTCATCAATGCCTGACAATCATTTAACGAAGATAGTGCTGGTAGTAGTGCAAACCTGGGGAGTCGTCTGGCAGGTCTGTGTAGTGGTGCGGGTGTGCGCCTTGGGGCACGGGGGGCGCGGTGGGGGGCTGCGGGGGGGCGCCGTACAGCAGGTTCAGCTCACGCGCCTCGTTCTCCTCCTGGGCCTGCTGTCGCCGCAACGCCACCTGCACATGCATTCACATGTCACTACCGCCGACTGCTGCTGACTACTGACAACTGCTGCTAACTGCTGCGGCAACAACAGTCTGACCGTTCAGTAGTGGCAGGAGTTAAGTGACATTTACCTGTGCGGCCATGACTCGCTGACGCTCCGCAATGAGCGTGCACTTGGCGCAGACGCAGTCCCGCCAGCGACAGTAGCGCTTGTGGCCTTTAAGCGCGGACACCACGCCGTGGTTGCGGCACCGCGCGCACTTCGGTGTCCTCTGGAACACGGACACTAAGTTACAACACAACTACCACGTTACGATAACACAGCAAACCATCTTCAACGATCTACGATCTTCAAACCACGAAAGACTTTATTTTTAATACAAATTATCTATGATTCTATGGTGTTAGACTTTACTAAAAACTCAATCTAGATCCGGGTATCGTAAGCGGGTCGACAGCGCCGTGTATTAAGCGTATTGTTCCTCTTCGGCCGGTAGAATGCAAGTTATCTAGCGCTTTGTTAAAGGGAATGAACGACAAATTAACTTTTAACTATTTATTATGATGACATAAATTATCTTTCAAGTAACTCGAAGTCTAGAATACTGTAGGCAACTTGTAAAAAGTTGAACTTCTTTGATGTGTATTGCTCAACATCATGTGTGGTCTTTGGTTAAACTCTTATCTACATACAAAATTGGAGTGTCTGTTTAATATCAAAAGAAAAATTCCAGATTGCGGTAAGATGATGTATTTACGTTGCTGATAACGAAAATGTTTTGTCGATCCGCAAGCCGCGTTTGTTTGACTTTCACTGAAAGGTAGCTGACATAAACGGGCGTATTAAAAGCTACTTTTTTTATCTTAATATTACGTGGAGGAAGTCACGGGCAACAGCTAGTTCAAGAAAAAACGGAAAAAAACTCAACATTTAAAAAAAAAACAATTACCTAGTGCCTAATTATTATAATTTGATAAAATTTTAGATTTATAAATATTTTATCGAGGTTAGAAAAATGAATGTTAACTAAGAAACTAAACAATGTCACAAAACATGTTTGAATTTAATATACGTCTAAAACTGGCCGACGGCGCGCCCCTTCCGCTACCGGCAACTGATACCTCAGCAAGCAGTGCTCTTTGCACACTAATTACTTTGTTACATTGTAATTATAGTGTTACATTTCAAGTTCATTGTAACAATATAATGTAACAATACTCGTTACATTATTTGATAACAATCCGCGCGACATGTAACACGACACCGCACGTCGCCGACTCACAAACTATCGTATACTGTAATTACATTACAAATAGCAACAAAACATTGGGGAGGAACTGTTCAAATAAATCATAAAAGTTATTTTGTAACATTAAGTAACTACTTTAAAAAACAGCTTCTTTAAAGAATGGCACGAAATAAATATTATTAATTCTTTGATTAGGTTTTAAAAAGCGTATTCTAAAGTAAAAAACAACACTTCCACGATAATATTAAAGTCGTATATTTATATACTTTTTAATATTTTAATGTTTATTGAGATAACTTTGAATTTGAACAATTAATAAAATTGGAGTCCGTAATTAAAATCGATACAAAAACAACATATTACTAATGTAATAAATGCGAAAGTTTAGATGGATGGATGTTTGTTAGAGTTTGTAGACTAAATGGCTGAACGGATTTCGATGAAATATGGCATAGATGTAGACGATAGTCTGGAAGAACACATAGGATACTCACTTTTTTTCTTTAACTCCACGCGGACGGAGTCACAGACGAAAGCTAGTGTTCCATTCACGTGTTGTATTTACATATGACTAAAATCTAATTTAAAAAGTTTCTGTTCGTCTTTCAATCTGTCCGCACTTTCTTTTTGAGAAGTCTCCGAAACGCCTGGTCGATTATTATGGGATTTTCACAAGAACGTAAAAGCTTAGTGTGCGAGAGTACCTAACAAGAGTATTTTTTTTATTCCGCGCTACCAAAGTCGTGGGAAATAACTATCTTAAAAACTTATAAAGAATTTATATCGATAAATATAAATTCCTTATAAGTTTTCTATTTACAGCTTTCATTCCCTACGACGCAGGAATGTTTCTTCAAAATCTGTATTTTCAGATTTTAAAAACAAACCATGTTCAGTTGGTTAGAATTTACTTTTAATTTGAGAAATCTTTCTAATGCGGGAATTCCAACTTTAATCTGTTATCGATATTTGAGGTAAATTAAATTAGGCAAAACAATCTTATTATATTATAAATGCGAAAATGTAGATAAGATGGATGTTTGTTAGTCTTTGTAGTCTAAACTACTAAACTGATCTCGATGAAATTTGGAACGAATGTAGAGGATATTTTGAAATAATACGTACGCTCTTACTAACTTTTGCATTTTAATTCCACGCGGACGGACTCGCGGGCGAAATCTAGTTAGTAAATCTAAAATAGATGCCTCGTTATAAATTGACTTTTTAGTAATTACTTGTTACATTTGCTTTTATTTGTAAAGTTATTTCCGGTTTAAAACTACTCATTTCTATGATAAATATTTTTATTTCAGAAATTAACATTTACAATATAAATTGTTCTTGTGCTAAAAATCAAACGACAAAAGCGCCTTCAAAGTTATGAAGGCGCAGTTGAACAGCGGTTACCAGTCGCAGTCGTAGTACGTGTCCACTGTCACAAGAATGAATAAGCCATGTTTTATAACAATTGTTATTGGACCAAGCTATTTTACTAATGATAAATATATTTACTAATTAGGTAACTGAAGTTAAATTACGAACACTTCATTGATACAAACATTGCAAACATGTGATAGCAACTAAGTTTTCCTTTCAAATTGGAAAACTATGGTAAACCGTAACGATTTATTAAATTATTCCCGAAATGACCTCGAGTTACAACTTTAGGAAATACACCTATACAGTTGTAACATGTCCCGATGTTAACTCTTGTAGAAGTGTGTACCTGGTATCTCTCTGAGGCGCGCAGGAAGAAGGGCGGCAGAGCGGCCAGCACCGGGTGCTGCACCAGCTGCGATACGTCCACACCGCTGCCCAGGGACATCTCCATGGCGCCTCACTCCGCAGAGACCGCGTCTCAATCCGCACAGACCGCACCACTCCGATACCAGAGTCCGCTGGAGACCGATCAGGCGCGCCTCGCACACATCACAACACTACAGATTTAGACTGCGACACTTGTGAGGTCGCGGCTCGCGGGTGCGGTGACGCGGCGGCAACTGTTGCGGAGGCTGCGAGCGTGCTGCCACTGTAGCGGGCCTGTTGCGACTGTAGCCGGGCGGCGGCGGGCGGTGGCGGGCGGCGGCGGGCGGCGGACCGGGGGGCGCGCTGACACACTGTAGACACTGTAGCCGTCCCGCTCCCGCCGCGCCCGCCGCCCCCCGCGCCCGCCGCGCGCCCCCCGCAGCCGCTACACTGCACTACACTTGTATCCGCGGGTTATATAAAGTGTAGAGTGCGCGGGCCAATGGGCGGCGCGCGCTCGCCGCCCCCCGCCCGCCATTGGCCGAGCGCACAAAATTATAAAGGTGACTTTTTGGAGAACGAGTTTTTGTATTACAAAGCGCTATTGAATGAGGCACAAAAACACACAATTATGTTTGTTAGCGATCTCTTTTTGTGTCCATTGTTCGCTTTTGTCGCGGCTCTCGGTAGCGGCGGGTCGCTAGTGGCCTCGCCCGGCGCCGCCCGCTGCCCGTCGCCCGTCGCCCGCCGCGTGACCCGTCAGTGTCAGTGGGAACATTTATGTGCCAGAGACTCATTAATGCTTTCACGCGACGAGATGAATCGTGTGATAACACTCTGTATGACACACAAAAGATCCCCAGTGCGCTCCGCTCCGCTCCTATCTATTTAAAACATCTCAATTAATACACACATCAGTTTAACAAACAATATGTACGTTCATTATTCACTTATTGTAATCCTTACACGTAGATAACGTTTTTGTACATTCAATTTAATAGTCTACATACCTATATAAGAAAGGAAAGACTTTTTTTATACAAATTGATGCAAGGTTTAGACTGACATGCGCACGCGCAGGCGCAGGCGACGTGAGCCGGGTAAGATTTCTATCGTGGTTTTTGGTATCTCTACTAACTTTTTCGTTTAAAACTATAATAATGTTCGAACATAAATACAATTGTTCGACTTGTTTTTCTCCTTAAACAAAGAGGACACACATCAGGATACAATGTGAAAGATATCTGTCAACAATGACAGCTGCCCAACTCGTTACCAGCCTAATTCATTTTCCAGCTAAATATGCGATGTCTTAAAGAACTGGCATAACATAATAACAGCACCGACCATAGACTTCTATCATTAAATAGAATGCCATAGATACTTATTATGTTCTGAACTAAACAATGTTTAATGGCCTTCACTCTCTTCTCAGTTCTCAAAATGTGCACGCTTCTAGAGATGTGATACATCAGTGGAAGCCGCCGCTACTCGGATATGTGTTATAACATCTGCTCTGCTCTCAATATATTATAACAACGACCATAAATGAAACTCCAATTGAATCGAGTCTCGCGTCGGCGGGCCGCGGGGGGCGGAGGAGGGGGGAGGAGGGGAGGTCGAATTGAAATATTTCAATTTACTTGTCGCCGGGAATTCGATTTAAATTACAATGAGAGGCGACGCGCGGCCTCCGGGGGGCGCGGGGGGCGCGGGGGGTGCGGCGGGTGCCGGTGGGCGAGCGGGGGGTGCGGGGGGCGCGGGTGTCGTGTAATTATTAATGTATAACTGAATGTCTGCGCGTATCGGAAATTAATAGCGATCGCTTATACAGGGTGTCGGCGGTCGGGGGGCGGTGGTCGGGGGGCGACGCGCAGGGGGTCGGGGGTCGGCATTGTTCCTGCCAGCCACCCCCCGCTGCAGTTGACGACATCTGAGGTAGTATTAATTAGGATGTTAGTAATTAATTAACACCTCTTGCAGACTGACAGGAGGGTAATATTGTGCGATGTTCTTGTCCAGTTAATGACTGAATAAATAAAATAGTAGTTACATATAACGGTGTTCACTAGAACGAACATTGCACATCGCGATAACTGCAGTAATATTATAACATAAAGTTAACGTGTTATAGCGACGTGTCAAACAACCATGAAAAATAAAACATAATTGAATACATAGTTACTTTAATTTCAATGTAACGCTTTATGTTAGTGCTATGTGAACAGTGTGAAGTGGCGGGAGGAGGCAGGTGTGCCTCTACTAAGGGAGGGAAGGTCTTGGTGCGGGGAACGGGGGGTGGGGGGGGAGCGAGGTCTCGACTCAAATGAGAATTCCTCAGGCGGAGATCAATTCGCGAAATGTTCACATTTCGCAAACGTCTCAACTTGGATTAGGGAAGCGACATCGTGCGACTTTCGATAACAACAGAAACATAACATTTCTTTCTTAAAAGCAAATCCCTTTTTTTAGTAATTGCCTGATATTATAAATATCTTTAAGAACAAAAACATTTTTATGTCTTTTCTATGTAATTTCTAATGAATTATTATGAATTTACTGTTTTCTGTTTTAAGTAATCGTTTTATTCAACAGGTTATTGTACTGATTTCTTATTCTATATGTTTACACAAATTATCAAACACGGAATATCTAATGGGTATCCACATTTTTGTATCGTCACTTACAAAAGTGGACAAACAGAAACTACTTTATCCATTAATGCTTTGTTTGCTTTTAACATAACTACTCGGCGACGCGACGCGACGCGACATTCTCTATTGAGACAGTCGCCGTGACGCAACACACGTTCACACCTACCACAGACTATACAAGCGGAAAAATAATCATCAAACTAACAGATTAAGACGAGTCAAACATATTTCATCTTACATTTAAGTTTGGTTCTTCTGATGTCTATTCTATGACCATTGTGATGGGCATGTGTTGTTGGCCAAGTATGCCATGTTAACCTGGCACAAGCCTAATAAATATCAAGGTAAAGGAGGACAGGAAAAATTAGAATAGAAGTCTATCGATACTTATTGTCGATGTGCGCGGTCATGCCTGGCCGAGCACCGTGGGAGCGTAGCGGCATATCTTCGCAAAGCGTTAAAATGAAATGTTCGCAATTTGAATATAGTCCGTGTCCTCTCCCCCATCCCTTCCCCCGGACTTCTCCCGCGTCCCCCCCCGGGCCTCCCCCGCCTGGCCCCGAGCGCTCCTTGTTCCCGATGTAATTGCTAAACTGTTTGCACTTTCTTCTTGTAGAGTTGTTTTTTCTCGGAGCACTTCGCCTTCGGAAGCAAATTAGTTTCTTTCTTCATTTTCTACAAGTTATAAAACATTTCCAGATGAAGTTAAGGAGAGATTAGATTTCGTTTTCTTTTACGTAGATAGGTTTTTATTTTAACCATACTATTTCGATTCTCCGAACAAACAAGTATTTACTTTCTGTTGTTTTGATATACTTGGAGACTATACAAAAGAAGTAGTAAAAACCAAAGCTAACTTTCACGTCAATATTAGTGTAGAATATATAATTTAAGTAGATGGTGTTGGGGTCTATTGTCACCTTCCTGTCTGTCCCCTTGTGGACGTGATACGACCTATTATGATAATGATTGATGTCCCACTTATACTAATAAATACTCAGTAAAAGTATATCACATGATTAGCTTTCACCCGCGACTCAGAATTAAAGAAAAACTAAACCGAGTAGCCTATATGTTCTATAAGACTATCTTCTACGTCTATGCCAAATTAAATCGAGATCCGTTCAGCTGTGGATGGTACAAACTCTAACAAACATCTATCGTTCTAAACTTTCGCATTTATATTAAGATATTGTACCCAGCAAATAGCAACATTGCATCACAACACAATGGACAATGGGCGTCTCCGTATCAAAGCCTTCGCTGAAAGTAACAAATGAAGAGGATTGTAGAGGGAGTGCGGCCCTCCCACCCGCGTAGACACTGTAGCAATGTCGCTACGGTGCGGCTACGTGAAAGCTACGACGGGCAACAGTTGCGTCAGCGGGGGAGGGGGGAGGCTTCGTGCGCCGCCATTGGCTAAAACAGTGTTGCCACTGTAGCCATCCGCACCCAACACACGCCCACGCTACTACTGCCTACTGCTTACTGAGATCACGGTCTCGTAGCGTCCCCGCTGACTCCTGCTGACAGCTGCTCCAGAAAATATAGCACTTCATGTCCCAAAGACTTGAGAATGATTCTTTTCTTTACTTCAACAGTGTTCACATAATTATTATCTATGTTATTTTGAAATGATGCAATCTCTCGACATCAAAGTCTATCATTAGACACTTTCTGCTTTCAAAAATTAATCAATTAAACTTCATATATTGAATTCCTCGCGTTTTCTTTGTTGTAAGTTAAATTAACACAGATTAGAAAAACTATGCTGGGTTTCTGAATTTTCCATTTATTATGTTATCTATCGATTCATTAATGTCATATTAAACTATGTTAAGTTACGTAGTTCAGAAACACATTTCATGAATTTATGTAACCATAAACACTAATGGTTAAGCGTAGCTGGGAAACCGGCCATAAATCAGATTATTTAATATCTCTTATATCAGTTAAACTAGGATAAGGATAGAGAGAGATGGTATACAACAAAAACATCTGCTTGCAGATTCGAGCAGAATACTTTATATTCCGCTGTCCGCATGCTGAGGTGTAATTTTCTCTGTACGCAGTTTTTGCTAGCGCAGGGTTCCGAGGGCAAGACAAATGTCTGGAAGTCGCCAGGAACACCCTCCGCACCTCCCGCACCCCCCGCAACGATTTACCAATCGTAAGGCATCGTATGGACATGACTTAGTCAAAACTTGTACGTTCCTACTACCTACTACTAATAGGTTCAGTACCTATTGTAGTATCTGTGCTAAAACCTAATGTATTTTTTTATCAAATAAGATTAACCATTTATTCAATACGCATTACACTTGTATTATTATTTTATCAAATGATGTCAAATTCTAGCTTCCGTTCACGTCTCCGTTTGCGTGGAATTAAAAAACAAAAATTATATTATGTAGCCTATGTGTTCTTCCAAACTATCCTCTATATCTGTGCCAAATTTCATTGAGATCCGTTCAGCAGTTTACTATAAACTCTATCAAACGTAAAACGTCCATTCGTTAAACATTCGAATTTACAATAATAGTATGATTCTTATAAGCTTAAATCATTCGTGTTATAACAATGTTTTAATGTCACGTAACATAAATTACATCCTATCCATGTTTGTCCACGGCATTTTGTCTTCCGGCGACAATTGACAAAGCTGACCAACACAATAATTTACAGAATGTGCCGCTGTGCCGACGCGCTGCCGGGGAGAATAAACTCACACGCCTGACTTCAATATTCTGAGGCTAAAGATTTGATAGTAGCTTTTAAATACATAAAACAAAAATCATCATATTAAAAAGTAACAACAGATGTACAAATAAAATCAATGAATTTGCTAAAACGATTGTTTTCGATGTAACAATTATCCATCTAGCAAATCATTACCTTTGCCTTTGGTTTATTCAAAAAGGATTTTCTTAAATTTTAATCTAAATAAATCAAAACAGAAAAACAGATATCTTAAATGTTTCTACTATTAATTTAATTTCAGCAATACCAAAACTAACTAATAACTAAGCCATATCGGAACTGCCGTGAGACTAGCAGACAGTCCTGTCGTCGTGAAGGCAGCTGGTAAATATATAAAGGCATTTCAAGACAAATACCACCTCCAGTAGTGAGAGGCACATAGAAATTTGAAAAATAGAAATAAAACAGTTGTTTCAAAAAGTTCATCAAATTTATTAAAATCATCGCCGAATTTGTATGAGATTTGTACAACACCGTTACAAAATTACAATTGGTAAATGGTTAAAAGTAATATGTATAAGTGTAACATCCAATACTGTTCCACAGTTATATTTTCACCTTCGGTTAGTCTTTGTTCCACAATTCGATGAATCGTTTATTTATTTGATTCCACCTACAGCGCCATCTAGTAGTGAACAGCGATAACTTTTTGTTTTTTTTGTCATTGCTACTAGTCACAAGATGTCACTATAACAACTCATTTAGCAGAAGACATAATTTACTATAGGACAATAGATGGCGTTGCTACCAAAAATGTAAGTTCATTTTTCTCTTCTTTTATTTCATCTTTATAATACTAGATGGCACTAGTGGTAAAAATTCCGATGTAAGACAATGAATAAATTTGTATTTGTACTCAGTGGAACAGATCAAAAGCGAGATGTCTTATAGCGCAAGATACATACAAACAGGTCCCTTGACTACATTTTGTACGTAATGTTATGACCTAAATAAATTGAAGTTATTAATTACTTACCGCGTACATTGACCGCAGAGCTTCATCACTCTGTCTGATGATTGATTGATCATAATGATAATATTTTTTTTTCAAATGGTAGTTGTTTACTTTTTTGCTTTATATTTTTATATCTAATTTATCTCAAAGTTTAAATACTTGATCATGCAAGATTTATGAAATTTCAATTGAAGTACATTTTAAGCATAAAAGTTCATTTTGGTGTTCAAAAATAAAAGTCGAAAATAGGTTAATTAAAAATGTATTTGTTACACAATAGAGGTGCGTTTTGCCTTTAGTCTAAGTATCGCCAGTTGCCGCACTCAGTCCACCAGCTCGGAGTTCTTTCTGATGAAGTTCTTCTTTATGTAGACGTCCGGGTGCAGCACGTCCTTGCGGCCCTGCTCGTCTCCGCCGCCCGCGCCGCCGCCGCCGCCGCCGCCCTGCGTCTTGGTGAGCGAGCCGAGCAGGTTGAGGCTGGGTCCGCCGTGCTTGGCGTAGTCGATGCGCCACACCGCCGGCGCTGCGGGCTCGCGCTTGTACGCGTAGTGCTGCTGCGCCGGCGCCAGCGCGCCCGCCGGCAGCTCCAGCGACAGCGAGCCGCGCTCCCCCCGCGCGCCCCGCTCGCCGCCCCGCTCGCCCGAGTACTCGCCGCGGAACTCCAGCTGGGCGCTGTGCGTCTTGTCCTTGTACTTCACCTTGTGCGGGTAGAACTTGCGCAGTTTCTTGCGCCCGAACACCGACGTGCGCTTGTTCTGTTTACTCGACTTTTTTCCTTTCTCCTTCGACCAGTTCACTCGCTCCGTCTTGAGCTTCTGTTTCTTTCGCCTCCGCTTCACCGGACCGTTGTCAAAGTACCCAGTGTTTTGGACCTGGAGAAAATTAGACAGATCCTCGCTGTTGATGAGGGGGTACTCGGTCCTGCGGTTGTCGGCCTGCGTCGTCTTCTCGAGCGACAGCTTCTTGTAATTGATCTGCTGAATTGATTTTTCTATTAGTCGGCTGAGCGTGCGGTCCTGCGTGATGAGCCGGCAGGGGATGCTGGGGAAGTTCTTGCAGAGCACGGACTGCATGAGCGCCAGCACGCGCGCGCCCCCCGCGCCCCCGTCGCCGCCCGGCACCGCCTGCACCACCTGGCTGGCCTGCACCACCACCGGCTCCAGCGACAGGTTGTTGCTGTTGTCGCGCTGGAACTGCGACATCATCTGGTTCATGAGCGCGTTGTTGCGCAGGATCTTGCCGCGGCAGAGCAGCGCGCACGCCAGCACCGCCAGCGCGTGCAGCGCCCCCGGAGCCCCGCGCGCACGCATGCTTCTGATTTACCTGCAATTAAGTACTAGTATTAAAAATAAGTGTAAGAGAGTGCGCGGCGGCTGCGGGACAAGCTGCAGTTACGTCAGGCGGCGCGTTCGACACATTTAAATACTTGCCTAACTCATTGTGTGTTCACAATGTTGTCAAAATATTTGGATAACAATTTACTAAACACGAGCCGCATGTTATGATACGCCTCTTTGTTAGATGTCAAAGACGTTCAAAATATAATATCTATGTAACAGATGTACTCTAAAGTGTCAGTAGAGGTCCGAGGCTGTAGAAAGTGAGCCAGTTTTTTAGAGCATTGGTTTCTTATCGATAAACGATAAACGAACGATATCGATCGATAAACTTATGACTGTTAAATGAATATTACCAACTTACCGAAGGCTTATCTTTCAATGTTTACGTGCAGTCGTGTCCGTGCATAGGGTACGAATTGCTGATACTCTTCATGAATGTTGAGTCTGCAATCAGAATTTTTTAGTTGAAACCAAAACAGGAAACACACTAACTTATCGGTATTATTGATAGCGATCTTAAGGCGAGTACAGTTTAATATTGTTTCCTATAAAATAGTGACTTGAGTTCAACAACACAGTACTTTGATGTTACGACTTGCGATTTATTCCTTCTGAGCTTTTACAAGAAGTGTAAATCTTTTTGACATATGATCGGTTTATACAAAACAAGGAAATTGTATGGATATTAAAAATTAGATTATTGTTTGTTGTCTTCAGTTGGAACTGAAAAAAGTCTTTATCATGATAATTATGACAATAGAATTTGCACTTGGACTGTAACTTAGTGCGATATTACAACAATTTAGACAGAATAACGACTATAGCAAATTGTTTGGCGTAAACATGTTAAGTTCAATTTGTAAAAAGTTACAGCTATTGCTTATGTTACTGTTAATAATTGTATTTCCGTTTTTCTAACATTTCACTTATTAGAGTCTGTAATACTTTGTATAACAATTGTTAATTTATGTTTAAAGAGTCTAGAGTCTTTAAGTTGTCTCTATTTAGATTTATCACGATTTGCCCACAACATGAACATCCCTTAGTGACTAATAAACAACAGTGCAGCTAGAAATAATATAATGCGGCTCACCTTAGCGATGCAACAGGGATGATATGTGGTACCACTGGTCGTGTGGCGCTGTCGGCTGCCGAGGAGGCGAGTGCTCTAGAGCTGTGGCCGGCGTGTTGTTTGTGTGTTGTGTCGCAGGGCGCGGCGGCGGCGGCGTGCTCTGGACTGTTTGTAAACACGCGGGGCGCGTGCTCTTTGCACCGGAGCAGGGACGGACACCCCACACCAGCTCTACGTCTTCCTATATTTAACATTCATTCGGAAAAACTATAAAACATCTTACAAATACGACCTGTCCTTTAAAAATGTGCGCTATGCGTCGGTAATCACCTTGGTGTTCCTACTGAATGTTTGCCCGTTTCTACACTAATATTATAAAAAGAAAAGATTTGCATTTTTGCATGTTTTAAAATAACTCAAAGACTACCGGACCGATTTTAAAAATTCTTGCGCCATTAAAACTACGTTATCAGTGAGTAACACAGGTTGCTGTTTTTTAAATCACTTGCAGACAAAGTCGCGATGAACAGCTAGTCTCTTATAAAACCCCTGACTTAAAAATAGATCTAGAGACGGTTAAAGATAATTTAATCTACATTACTATTTTTAGTAATGTATATAGTCACTAATGTTGTTTAGTAGTAGTCTAGGGGCGAGTACGGCCCTGTCCCCAGTCACGTTGTATAGCGACTAGCGACAATGTTTAGTGTTAGATAAAGAAGCCGCCTCCCGCACACAGAGCTGCGGCCAAACATCCGGCCTAGTTTTAGAAGATGAGGCTACGATTCAGTACAGTATTAACCACGCTCAGTCACATTACTTCGTCACTTGTGATTCATTTAAATTTATATTCCACAGTTCTAGGTATTCTTAATAGCCAAAAAAAAACGTATGTTATAACGCGTTGTTTTACTTAATTAATCAAGAGTTTAAGAGTTAATCAAGATGCATTGGAAATTTTTTCATCTTTTCGTGCACGTATTTGCTTTTGCCTCGATTTTATTTCGAATAGCGCCATCTAGCTAGCAACTATGGTAAACACCAGAAATGATTTAAATTGAACCAATATTTGCTACTAGATGGCAGTAAATGCTAAAAGTTTTGAATGTTCAACATCATCCAGGTAATATTTGTTAATATGAACAAAGCCATTCCTTGGTGGCAATTTTTGACCGACTTCCCAAAAGAAGGAGGTACTCAATTCGTCTGTATGTTTTTCTTACTTATAAACAGGTTAAATAAAAAGATGCATATCTTGATTATAGAGTTGAGAGAACAGTGATTCGTGTTATCTTATATTACGTGATTCCAACTCATTAAAATGATAATTTCTAATTTTCCTCAATTAGCGAAAAATATGATGTTTGCTTTGGACCTAGTGATATTAACCTTCATTGCCCTCCAAGTATTTATGAGTACTTATCAGAATTGAATGCAATGCCACTTGACATTGAGTAAAGATGCAGTTATTCCGGACTCAATAAAATCATACCAAAAAGTGAATACAATTATAGTAAGAATGCCAAGGCAATACATGGCTTTATACACGGCGATTAAGTAAACATTATTATTCGTCTTTTTGAGCAAAACTATTAAATTCATGTTGGATCGAGATAATAAGGCGAAGTGTCATTTGAGCATCTGCAAAGCAGGTGATTTTCTAGATTTTATTTATTCATTAATTTAGATTATAGTTTCTAAATAATTACAATAACCAAGCAGGTATCGGAATTAATTATAGTTTTGACTCGTCTGAGAATCTCTGATCAATATCTGTCAGACGGCGTGGGTCTGTTTGTGTTTGTCAATATGGCGGATGACGCATGCGCGCCGCGCCGCCGTCGGCCGGTTTTCCCGCCACAAAACAATATTTTCCTTGTACATTTGCAATTCAAGTCATTATCTTTATCTTAGGATATGATAAAATTGCTTCGCTCTGTTTAAGACAAATTAAGTAGGCATTAAAATAGCGCGGCAAGAAACTATTTAGAAAGTTGTTTTGTATAAAAAATTAACATTTAAAAAGCACAAACTTATAGAAATAATTGTCTTAAGGGCAATATTTCATAACACTTTTTTCTTCACATAGTTATATTTTAGAAAATCAACAGACCAGTATTTCAAAATAAAGGTATTTATATAAACATTTATGGTTTCATTGAGCTCTTTACGTATTTAATAATTTTAGCTACAATTCCATACAAACAGTACATATTGACAGCCCTATTGAGCTCCCGGCAAATGTATTCGCATGCGAAAATTGTACCTCATCGTCTGCAAACAAGATAGTAAATAACATCCTTTTTTATGTTACAATACTGATAACATTCCTATACATAATTACTACAAAATGCCTTTGTTTGAAATGCAAGAAATACTTTAATAAACTGCGTTAACTAGAAAACTTTATACAGTATTTAAATTAGTACATGTATAAACAAACAGAACTAAGAACTGTCTCCAGGTGATAGGATGTATTGTAATGTTGGTCTGTATGTTATGATAACATAGGTGTATGTTATGAAAGATACTTGTTTGTTTAAACGAGGACAGACGGATAACAAAACAGTAACTAGCTCATAGGTTAGGTCATAAGGGTTGCCACTGCAGCTTCGTTTAAGTTAAACATCCAGTTTTATTTTCGTTAACAGCCAAAGACTGACTGATAACTTCGATTCGATTATACTTGTCCTAAGGGTGGAAAGGGAAAGGGATTAAAATTAAGCCTCCGGTACCACACTCATCAGACTGTACACGGAATAGCTCCCACTTTACGCCTGTCTTCTGTGTGGTTGCCAGCCCTAGTTTACTGCACTCATCTCTGGTTACCTTTGTGGCTGGGATTGGAACTCTCAACCCATGACTCAGTAACAATGAAGCTGGAAAACATCAATTACACATGGTCTGATGGAAAAATATATATTCTTCGTTGAATTATGATATTTAAGATTAATCCAAAACGTATGCACATTGAGAAACTTTGAAATAATAACAGAATTTAATTTTACTTTGAGTACAGATAATAAAATACTAGGTATACTAATAACTTTGAGACTAGCATAAATTTACTACTGTTATTTTAAAGTTTTAGATATTATGGAAGGAACTAAATTAAATGTAATGTTAAAAACAGATAATCAATGTTAAAAATGCTAAGATTTATAGCTGGCTGAATTTAAAAAAAAAAACAAAGGTAGCCAATGTGTTTTTCCAGACTACATTCTACATCTTTGACATGCATCGAGATCCTTTCAGCAGTTTAGGATACAAACGAACAAACATCTATCTAAACTTTCGAAATTATAATATTAGTAAGATGTAGTTTGTGTTAAAAATAATGAAGTCGTCGTGAGAGGTAAATCCTTAACAACTGAGTTGTGCCTCATTCGGAGTACATATCTAACATCGAACATATATACGAGTATTATAATATATTCAGAAATAATGTTATTTTCTATTGTTACTGTATGAGATAGTTTGTATACCTTTATGAAGAAAGATAACCTTGTGTGAGAATGCATTCTTTAATTCAGAATTCAGATTCTATTAAAAATAAACTATTTATGTGCAGTCCTATTTAAGTTTTAACCGTGCCATATTTCCTAAACTTTCCTTCTTAAAACAAACATGTGTGAACACATAAAGGAGAAAATGGATGTATTATCACACTATGACCTTAACTTTATAAACTTAACGAGAATTATATCATAATAAAAATTTTAACAAATGTTCGCAAGTCATTTATCTTTTGGTTTTTCTTCTGATCTAAATGTTAACACATGTCATTTATTATGTAATAATTCGTTATCTAAACTCATAACAAAAGAAAAAAAATACGACTCAATATCCAGGAAAAATTGTTAAAAAATATAGCCGTATATAAGGTGGAGGCGCGTCCCGCTCGCCATTGCAATGACGACGCGCGCCATGTTCCGACGTGCAGTGCTAGTGATGTGCGCGCTTGCGTGCGCCGGCGCAGCGGCAGCCCACGGACACAACCACGGACATGCCCATGCACACACCCCACATGCAGGTACTTCAAGCGATTTAGATAAATAAGACAGTGATATTGGCTACGTCCGAAACAAAAATCAAATCATTTTTATTTGAAGCCGAAATAAAGCATTTTTATTTACTCGTGGTAACTGACTACAGGGGGGTCGGTAGGGACTAGTGAAAATCCCATCGCTACGACCCCGTCGGGCCCTATCCGAGGGTCTATGATGCAGACACGGCGCGGGCGGGCCTTCGAGGCCTATCGCGGCATGCGGTACGCAGAGCCTCCTGTAGGTGAACTTCGATTTCAGGTAATTTAGACTATTTTTAGGTTATAAACGCTGGAGTAAGTAAATATTTGATTGAGAAATATGAATATAATCATCTATTCACCAGCCACCGAAAATGATTGAGAAATACGAGGGAGTATTGGATGCTACCCAAGAAGGCCCCGCGTGCCCCCTTCCCGCGCCGCCCGGCTACTACCTGGATGAGGACTGCCTGCGCATCAACGTCTATACCCCAAGCCATAAGAGGTACGTGTAATCTATTCGACCTACGTCACGTACAGAATAAGGTAGTGGACACCACCTATCCTTACTTGTCTCTGTTTAGTAAGCGATTTACGCCAAATACAGTAAAGAGGGTAAGGAGGTTTGAGATGTCTGGAGGAGAGGGTCTTTATTGGTTTGTTATTCCTATTTTGTTTCAGTAAGGAGCTGCTGCCAGTGGTGGTCTATATACACGCGGGCGGGTTCTACGCATTTTCTGGCCGCGGCGACGTGGCGGGACCGCACTACCTGCTCGACCGCGACATCGTTCTCGTTACCCTCAACTATCGCCTCGGCACGTTAGGTGAGCATCTTGCAGATTGAGTGGGAACAACACCTCTACTCTCCACAACCCTCCATTGTTCTTGCATTACAAATGAATGCGAGTATAGGTGTTAAGAGAAGTTGTGCTCTGATGAGGTAATGCCGAGTGGCGCGTGTCGTGTGCCAGGTTTCCTGAGCACGGGCGACGCGGCGGCGCCGGGCAACAACGGGTTCAAGGACCAGGTGGCGGCGCTGCGCTGGGTGCGGCGCAACATCGCGGCGTTCGGCGGAGACCCCGACCTCGTCACCATCGCCGGCTGCAGCGCGGGCTCCATCAGCGTCATGCTGCATATGATCTCACCAATGTCTAAAGGTTTGTTATACTAACAATAAACATGAAACATTATTTGAATCCATTGGTATGCTTATAATTTATCTTTTTCGCTTGTCTGATACCATAGGTCTGTTCCACCGAGGAATATCAATGAGTGGGTCGGTCTCGGTCCCCGTGCCCACGCCCACCAACCTGCTGCCCCTGGCGCGCCGACAAGCCGAGCTCGTCAACTGCCCCACGTCTCCTAACAAAGCAATGGTCGACTGCCTCAAAACAAAGCCGTGGAAGGAGCTAGGAGACTCTTTAAATGGATTCTATGTAAGCTGAATCTGATTAATTCATGATAACGTCAAATAGACTTCACCTAGGCTGTAGTTAGTTAAAAGATAACACAAATTTTTTCGTGGACAGGAGTTCGGTTTCGATCCGGTGGCGCTTTGGTGGCCGGTAATAGAGCCAAACGTAGGTCAGGAGCGGTTCCTGGCCATCGAGCCCGCCGTGGCCATCCGCAAGGGCAGGATGCACGCCGTACCGCACATCATCAGCCAGACCACAGACGAGTTCTTCTGGAAAGCTTTCAGTGCGTATCCATAGCCACGTATGAGCTCATCATTGTTTGTTAAAGTTATGTCAAATTACAGTAAATGTTCATAATTCACTTTCTCAGCTATACTGAACAATCAGACGTTGTTGGACGGGATGAACAAGGAGTGGGAGCGGATAGCGCCTATCTCGCTGCAACTCCCGCGGGAAGGCGCCGCGCCGAAGGTCAACAGGCTGCGTCAGGAGTACTTCGGGAACAGGACGCTGGTTAACGACACCGCCACCGCCAAAGCCCTCGGGAACCTGTACGGTGACGCCATCGAGGCGTTCCCCGTACACAGGTTAGTGTAAACAAGACTATAGTCCGTAGTAAAGAGATAATACCGATGATTGTATACCTTCCTCCTATCTGTAAGTCAACTACACGACCTAAAAAGTCTGGAGGATTAGGCTGTTATTTTATAGGAGTTTTATTCCACATAAAATTGTTATAATTTAGAATGGCCAACCTGATGTGCCGTCACTCCCCCTACCCGGTGTACTACTACGAGTTCGCGTACGTCGGCAACCACAGCCACTACGAGGACCCCGTCACTAACAAGCCCACAGGTGAGCGCCTGCCACTTGACAGTACTCGCTGCTCAATACATTGCAGC